AACCAGTGCTCTCCACCGGCCTTTGAAGGCAAGGCAAGGCTTAAAAACAGGTTACCTAATAAAGAAATGAGGGAGGACACAGATCTCCACACACTCCTCAGTAAGACGGTTGACTCTAACTGCAGCCCTTGGTTTGAATCAGATGGCTTCAGACTATTTAAGTGTCAGCTGAGCTACCTTGCTATCACTGTTTCTTAATGGTCTATAGGACAGTGAAGTAGAAGCAGGGTGTTATCAAAATATGGCCCAAAGGTTTTTACCAGATGTGATGCAGCTGTATTCTGAAACGGCCCTCACTATGGATTTCTTCTGAAGAATTTGTAGATACTCATTGAAGTATAAATACTTACATAAAGATAAGATATCAGTCATTGGGGTCAGACCTGGGTATCCCTAGCAGAGTACTTGAGATCCACAGCAAATATGAGCAACTTGGTTGCTGATTTGTATTAAAGCTGTCCACATAGATATCATTGTCTGTTGTGCCAGCAGTTGCTGGCACACATTCTGTAAATGGGAAGGAGAAAAGAGAAGCATGAAGCAATGTGTGTTTTTTGCAATTACGCCTATTTCATCTATCTTATTAACTAGGCAAAATCATAAAGAAATAAATCTCTACTAGCAGTTAATGATCAGCTGGTTAGTTGATGGCTGCAGGCAAGCCCAGTGGTATAAAAATTACTGTCATTATGAACAGCATCTACTAAGATTTTTTTATTAAAAATGTGAACACATTCTGTTTCAACAGTGATATTATGAAATTCATCTTTTCATGAACTTTAATAACCAATTTTCTGCCAGAATGACCCAGAATGCTATCATACTGGTTCTGTATTAAAATTTATTTTTAAAATCAAAGCACTGTGTACTGTAACAGGCATAATTAAGCTATGGTCAAATAGCATATACAATGCATGTATAGTGTAACTCGGTATCAGCTTACAGTCTGTTCTGTTTGCCAGATGTTAAAAGAGTTGCAAATGAAATTAGTAAAACCCTCTTCTAAATTATAATTTCCAAAAAAGATTTTGTTTGTTTGTTTTCTGTTTGAGGTTTGTTTTGTTTGTTTGTTTTAAGTTGCAAATCATCCAGAGTATATTTTTCTGGTAAAACACTAGAGACCAAAAATTAGCTTGAACATCTACTTGGATATTTTGCAATCAGTAAATTGCTGGTGTAGCAGCAATTTGTTATTTGCACTGTATGGACATTACTGTAAAAGGGAGTGGAGGGGGAATACATTCTTGTTATTTCCAGCAGATTAAATGAGGTTCGCAGACAAATAGAACCAACTTTTGATCAGTCATGATTTGTACTAAAATTGCCCACATACATATTGTCATCTATTGTGTCAGTGGCTCTACTGATGAAAGAACTGGGATGGTGTTTACCTACACATATAGGAAAAGGCAGGGGGAGTGTTTTAAAGTTCACAAAGTGGTTTGTAGGTAGCTGAAGCTGCTCATGCACTTTTGAAAGAAGGGACAACATCCTCTGTCCTTTGCAGCCTTTCAGCAACTTGAGAAGCAGCTAGCCACCAGGACCTGGAAGGACAACATTCAAGGTCAGGTTGGAGTGACCTAAGCTAGTTGTAGATGTTCCTGCTCATTGCAGGAAGATTGGACTAGATAAGCTTTAAAGGTCCCTTCCAAACCGAACTATTCTATGACCAAAGAGAGAAAATATCCAAGAAGGAAGTGGCTACAAAACACAGATAGGCTTGCCCAGTGTTGCAATAGAATAGGCTTGCACACATGTGTGTGTACAACTGTGTATAACGATCTCTGTCTGTACAAAGAACGTGTAGTGGGTATGCAGTTATACAGGTATACTGTTAAGGAATTAAAGATCTCTGTGGTGGGAATGTTTAGAGAATTGATGAATTAGGGCATTTTAAAACTTTAAAATTATACCTTACATTTATTAACAATAAATTTCATGCTATTGAGTAGTTCTTGCACACTGTTAATCGCTGCTGCTACATGTGTAAGAGTGTTACTCCTTAACAATCATATCCTGAGTTAGCAATAAATATACAATGCCATGAAGTTGATGCCATATAGTCAGCAGCAATGGTTTGGGTCCTTGATGTTCCTTCATCATGCCAGTGCTTTACGCTTCTTATCCCCTACACCTCCAAAGGTCAATCTCAACAGCACCCTGTGCTATTTATTTTGGGTTTGCTTTTGCTAGCAGGATGTTCTACCTATTTGCAGTCCCTTCTGCTTACTGTGTGCCTCTTCTTGCAACTTCTGTTACCTGGATACCTCCTGCATGCAACTTGATATGTCTTTGCCCCTTTGGTGGTCACATTACTCCCAAACTTAATTAAAATGCCTGTACATTGTGTTTGGATGTGCCACAATAGTGTTACAGAGTGGTTATGCTATTTTGGTATGCATGTATGTGGACTCAAAGCAATCTAATTGTAAATATATCCCCAGGAATACACTTCTGATTTAAAGATACCACACGCTTCTGCCTTAACTACACCAGGGTAGGCCCAAAGTGGACAAATCACAGTAGAGAGCTGCCTCTTCTCTCACAGTGGGAGAATATTGCACCAATGCTGTAGCTGACTTCTGTTCCAGAGGGGTGGATCCTTGTTCAGACGTTTTCAGAAATATGGCAACACTGTGTGTGGTCAGCTTAGTTATTTCAGATACTGTATTAAAAAATTAGTTGCTAATTTTTAAAGGTTTTCAAAAAACCCTTTGACCACATTATTGCCACCAAGATGTGTATATATGCAGTGTATCTTTTAAATTTTAAATTTTGGGTATGTACTTGATAGATAATGCATCAAATAAGGAGATTAGGATCTAAAGAAAAATCTTACATGTTGATTAAAATAAATTATAAAAAGAAATGTAGTTTATTTTTTTCATATAGATATTAGCATTTCTAATGGAATTTTAACAAGGATGTTTTCAAGCTATTTCAAGATAGAAGACTTTTCAAGGAATTATTTCAAAGGCAAATTACTCATGCCATGATGGACTTCTGCAAATGCACAGAAATTAAGCTATTATGAGTGCAAAGCAGTTGGTTAATTTCCGTAACTGCTACATGATAAACCTCTTACTTACAGAAATCCAGATATATTTAGGCAAGAATTCCCTACTGTTTATAGAATCCATAATAATGTGAGGCAGTGGTCTGTATTTGAGGTCTTGAGGCATTGTTACTGAAAGTGTCAGAAATCCTTCAAACAGGGTGGTTTGTCTTTAAATAATCCCAACATTCTTAAACTAAGATTGACTTTCCAATCTTAATTTGGTTAGTTTATTTTAATAAGAGTGTTTCTAGCTAAAAGCTTTACGGCTACAGAAGCACATCATCTCCACTGGGATTATACACTGTAGAAAACACCTACATAACACAGCACAGGATAATTCTTAATATAGGTAATTAGTCTGGACAGGGCAATTTATGAATTTAAATATGCGTTAATCTACCCAAACTACTTTGCATATCTTTATTCAAGGTTGCTGTTTGTATTGAAGGGAGAACTGATAGCAGCAACAGGCTGTGAGGTAGCAGTAGAAGTTGCAGTGTACAGTAGACTATATAATTAAATGCTAGCAGAGGATTGGTGCACATGAGGAGTCCTGACTTTTGTTCTGTGTTTTGGAGAGCTGTCTTTCAAACCCTTCTCTCCCACCCTGCTGTGACTTACTTGACCTTGTTTGCTTCTGGCCATTCCTGTCTTTTTACTGTGTCTCCCTACATGTCCGGTTTCAATTCCATGCATGCACTTCTTTTTATATTTTGTCCGTCCCAAGACTGCATTACAATTTTCTTCTCACCCACTCTGCTACAGCTCTCAGCACTGAGGCCTTCACCCTCAAGTCACTTGGGCTGTAAGAAGGTGAACACTTGGATCACAAGATAGAGTTTCCCTGCTGACATTTTTTGAGCGCACAGCAGCCCGTGGTTAGCAGCAGAAGCAATCACAGGGAGGGTGCTGCTTGTCCCATGCATACTAACTTGTGCAGATTCATTCATTCTCAGGGAACGATACTCACAGACCTGTATTAGCATATATACACTGTAGCAGGCTTGAAAAATGATCACAAAAATGGATTCAAAGCTTAATGTAGAAAAGTAGTTACTCACAACTAAGAGGTTTTTCTATAGATAGAATTAAAGCAGGAACACTAAATCTGAGGTGGCAGTTTTGCCAAATTTCAAGAATTCTTTTCAAAGCAAGGAGCTTGATAGTAAAAAGGTTGTATGATTTCCTTATTCTACCTTGTGCAATTTTTCTATAACTTTATTTTTAAAATATCTGGAACACACTCTGTGGTGGATGTTCTGACACCTGACGGACTGGCAAGTCTTTGGGAAAATGTCCTTAAAAATATAATGTGTCAGGACACCATCATTACAGACAACAGAGGTTTAGTTTTTAAAAAACAGCAAAATCAGTCAGATGAAAAATCATACAGAAAAGACATGGCTTGTATAATAATGATGTAAATTGTTTCAAATATATTTAAATCATATTTTGAACATGAAAGATTGTTTTTGGATTGGTCTTTTTTATGCAATGTTACTCTCACATTACAACCTACAGAAGCTTAAAAAACGTGACTGAGGCTCCAGAAAATCATGGGATTTACTTACAAATATTATACGTGATCTATGAATATTAAATGTGGGATGGTCACTTAATCGTGCTTGTTTTGTTTTGGGCTTTCAGTCTCCCTGGGTCTCATTTCAATGTATTGTCAGTAAGTAGAAGTCTAAAATAACACTTTATGTGAACTCCTCTATTCAGAATATTAAATCAAAAAGTATCTTATTACAGAAAGCCAGGCCACAAATGCTATTCTAAGATGAGATTTGGCTGTAGCAAGATCAGGGTAGAATGAAATTTATCACAAGGAGAATGGTACACTATGATAAAATGTTAAACAGTGTATCAAAAGGAAATCTATAAGTAAAATTTTATAAGTAATTTTTAAAAAAACATAATGATCTGTTCTGTCTTACAGGAATCCGATTAGCTCCGAAGGAAAAACTGGACATCCCAGTGTTATTCATGCCAGATACAATGAAAATGCATGAGACCTTGGTTGTAATTCATGTAATGAGGGAAAATGGTGAAAACTGGCTTTATGAGGATTCTGCTGAATTAAATAAAGACTTAAAGAGGTAATTTGTTCTAATAGGAAAAGAAAAAGTAATTGAGGATATTCAATCCTATCATCATTTTTTCCCTTTAGATAGTTCTGTGTAGCTCCCAAGGGCAATCAAATGTCTGATTTTGAGGGCAATAGGTATCCAACATAAGCTTTTAATGTACCCCACAAAATATGCGGATTTAGGGTAGGACTTTTTTGTTTCAATACCTACATTTTCTAACTTCAAATAAGGAAGAAAGTGAAGCACTAGCTGCCAGTGTGCTTATGGATATTGAGCAAATAAGAGCTAGGTGCTGTCAGGGTTTAGCCCTGGTGAGTAGCCAAGTACCACACAGTCTCTTACTCACTTTCCCCCCTCCCCAGTGGGATGGGTGAGAGAATTGGAGGAAAAAAGAGAAGAGCACTCATGGGCCGAGATAAGAACATTTTAATAATTGAAAATAAGTGAAATAATGATACTAATATTACTACTGTGTAATGGAAATACTACTACTGCTACTAATGACAATGATACACTAGCTGCCAGTGTGCTTATGGATATTGAGCAAATAAGAGCTAGGTGCTGTCAGGGTTTAGCCCTGGTGAGTAGCCAAGTACCACATAGTCTCTTACTCACTTTCCCCCCTCCCCAGTGGGATGGGTGAGAGAATTGGAGGAAAAAAGAGAAGAGCACTCATGGGCCGAGATAAGAATATTTTAATAATTGAAAATAAGTGAAATAATGATACTAATATTACTACTGTGTAATGGAAATACTACTACTGCTACTAATGACAATGATATGTAATGAAAAATAGGGGAAAAAAAACATTGATACAACCACTCATCACAAGTGAACCAATGCCCTGCAAGTCTCTGAGCAGTGATTGCCCCTCCTGGCCAACTCCCTCCGCTTATATACTAAGCGTGATATTTGATGGCATGGAATGTCCCTTTGGTCAGTTTGTTCAGCTGTCTGGGCTGTGTCTCCTGCCAGCTTCTTGTAAAGAAGAACCTGTGAGAACAGGGGCAATATGAGAAACTAAAAAAGTCCTTAGTTTAATATAAACATTGCTTGGCAACAACTAAAAACAGCATGTGTCTCAACACAAACGTAAAACATAGCCTCATACCAGCTACTGTGAAAAAATTAACTCTGTCAGCCAAAACCAGAACAGATTCTTTCAGTATATTTGGGCTAATAAAGATTCTACTGTGGATAGGTTGTTGTAATGCATAAACTGTAAAAACTTAGTTTCAGTCTAGACAGGACATAAGAGAGGACAAATCAAATGTTCCCGTATCCTGACAGAATAATATTTGAAGACACTAAACTATGTGGATGTAAATTATTTCTATTCTGATTAGGTTGGATTTTATTTCATATTTTTCTTATATATGTATAGCATTACGGCATACAATATGGTGGAGTCTCACCTCTCCAACAACACTTAACTCTAGAGAGTTTGTAAAAAAAATACTCTCAGTAGTCTATCACAATGATACTCTTCACTTATTTTCCCAACAGTGTTATTGTAGCAAAGAAAGGGGGAATTCAGGGAATACTCTGGATCTATCCGGTTCATGGAATACCTGAAGCACCACAGCACAAATTAGTTCCAGGTAGGTAGTGATCTAAAAAACACTCAAACAAAAAATGGAAGAAAATAAGTCTTCTGTGTTCTCATCTGTTTGAGCAAGACAATCTGCAGTAGTACTTTGCTACATCTTGGATAAGATCATATATTACAAATAAAATCTCCTTTCCCAATGTACCAATCTAAATCTAGATCTATTATTTTGTTCTCATTGTGCATAAAGGGAGCTATGAGCAGTTGGAAATCTCAAGGATTGTGCCCTTCAGTGTCCCAGTTAATGCTGAGTTTGATAACTGAAGGTAAATCAAATGGCAGACTGACACAAAGGTAGATTTTTTCTTGCGTGCCCAGAACACCCTTCTGGAGGGTACAGAATATTGGAGTAGATGGCCGCTGTTTCTCTCAGCCTTGAATTTCACTCCTTAATCAAAACCAGAATGTAGAATAGCAGTAAGTTTCCACTTGCTCCTTAGAAGTAAACTTGCATTAAAAGATGACTGACATTCATAGGGTGGGTTTTTTTGGTGCTTATTCTGGGCATAGTACATGTTTATAGACTTTATGCATCTATTTTTAAATGTGTGATATAATCCTAGAATTGTGAAACAGAAATTGTGAGCAGCTTTTTAAATTTATAACCTTGACTAATCCACAGCTTAAGGTATACATGAGGGACAATTTTACATCAACTTTTCGTCTTGTCTTTGATGAATGGGTATAAAGTCTTTCTATACTACATAGACCAAGGTACAGGAATAACTTCTGGAAAGCTAAAGAAATAGATATTTTTATTGTCATTAAATTAATTTTATTAGGACCCTTTACCTGCAGACAAATACTAATGATAGGGTATTAATTAGAGCTTTAATCTCTTCAATTTCCACTTTAATATCATAAGGAATGAAGCAGAATATTATAATGCAAACAAGTCTGACTAGCATTAAAACTGTGTATATTGATGTGAATGTTTGTTGTGTTATTTAAGGCTGTTATGTAATTCACTGGCAGACTTTGAGATAAATCTTTTATTTGGCTCTTGGTTTCATTAGATATAGAAGTTATAAATTCAAACTGTTAGCATTCAAATATTGCTTAAGTGCCAACACTTCTGTATATGATCAGAAACTTTAGTAATGTCTAAATTCAAATTTCTATATCCTTCTTTAAACCAGCAAAACTGAATTGTAGAATGTTTACAACTGTGTTATCCACCAGTCTGTGTTCAGTAAATGTTTGTAATGTATACAAGGAACATTGTATTAATTTTGAATATGTATCTCTCTTTGGCCATCACCATGTTATGCCGAGCTTTTTTTTCTATAATTAAGTACTAGATCGTTCATTGATAAATGACCTGGAAAACTAAAATACTTGTTTGCAAGTGTGTTTATGAAACAGATTCCAGTCCTGCTTTGATTCTGAAAGTCTATAATTTTCAGTTATAAATGGACTTTTTCAAATTCCTGGTTGTAAGATCTGAGTTCAAAGCAGGTAATATACAAAAAAATCCCACTTTGGTTTAAAATAATTGTTTTTAATAATGATAGAGATAGTATTGTAATTTTATTTAATGCAGGCATGTATTAAGATTGCCTGGAGGCTACAAGCTGTTATGTCAAGAACCAAAGGTGATTTCTAGTATATTAGGCAGTTAATCTTTTGTGTCATTCTTATTTGCATCTTAATATACTTAAACTTCTAGAAGTCACTTGGCTTAGTATCTCATGAGATCAATTAAAAATATCAGTGGTCACAATCCACGTGGTACATATTAAGGAGATCACAACTTGGCTATCTTATAAAAGTGATTACAAATGGAGAATCATCCAGAATATTTTTTTAGTTCTTGTAGAGTCAAAGCAGCATACAATAATTTAGATGGGAAGGGATCACTGGAGGTCATCTAATCCAACACCCTGCTCAAAGACAGGTCTCATTAGGTCAGGGACCGGGCCAGTCAAATCTGACAGGAATCTGATTTTTATCAATAAATATTAGCCACTGAGGAAAAAGAAAGAGTAGAATCATTTCTGCCAGTAAGATAAGCTGTGGAATACAAAATGATGTGGGCACAACATGTGCACACAATAATCTGAAATTCTTGGTAAGATGGTGTAATACTGACAATGTAATTTATTCTTAAATATAAGGTCATGCATCTTGATAAACAGATATGTTTTTTAACTATTTCAATAACTCTCCCTCATGAAAATGCTTAGAAGAGAACTATAGAAATTACTTGAACCCTGTTAAACAGAAAAAGAACAAGGAAAACAAAAATGTGCTTTTTTTTAAAGAAAGTAAATTACTTGAACTTGATGTGCAATTATCTGTTTACCAAAATAATGATACTAAATCAAACTCCAGAACTGAAATTGAAGATAAGTAAACATTGGTATAGATGTAAACATTTCACTGCTCTTTTTTAAAACACTTTACATAACTACTTAGCAAGATATGTTCTAGATTATTTAGCATTAAATCTTGATGTTAAGTTCAGAGTTAATTTTTAAAGAATCATTGGGTATAATTCTGATGAAAATAATATTTATGCCTTGAAACTGAGAAGTATGTAATCAGCTCTTCTTTGTCATGTTGATTTCCATAAGTCTAGAAAATTCTAAGTCTTTTCTTTGGGAAATCATAGTTTTCTTTCAGTTTTGCATCTAATTTTCTCCTCTTTCTGTGCCAATAATAATTGAAAGAACCATAAACAATAACTATTGATGTAAGCTATATAAAATCTCTAAGCTCAACTAACTTGTAATGAAAACAGACATCTTTTAGAAGCAGTAAACTCAAATCACTTACTGAATCAAAAAGAAGTCTGTAATGATTCAAAGAGAAATATGTGAGAATGCTTTTTATTCTGGCATAGTTCTGTAAAAGCTGAAGTTTCAGTAACAGTATACTTAAATTAAGAAATCAAAGAGTAACTTATTATTTTAGTTTTAAATTCTTTCATTTGTTTTTCTTTCAGTTTTCCTTTCTCACTGGCATATGTCAAACTATACCATAATTTCTCTTTGCAAATGAATTAAAATGAAGATACATTTCATGACTACAAAAAAAGAGAAAAATTTGAGAGTGCTGTTGTGAACTAACTGTAGGAGCATATTTTTGTTCACTTAGCAATATTTTCTACTACACCTAAATGTAACAAAAGAAACTACAGAATGGGAAAACACCTTTAGTTGTCATTGGGTTATTGGATCTGTCAGTCTCTAAGCACATTTAATTGCTATGTTTAATAATTTTGTGAAAAACAAGATGGTGATGCTTTACAAATAATGGGTTCTTGCTTTTCTATAGCTGTGGTACGCTGTCGAGCCAGGCAGAGAGTAGAAAGAAGAGTAAAAGTGCTGCTAACTGGTGTAGTTCCTGGGGCAAATGCTATGCCCACTGCAAGAAATTCTGCCATGTTCAATACAAATATGCCAGCCAACATCCAAGAAGTTCAACTCACTGATGGTAAGAATAATTAGCTTGGATATCGTGATATTTTAGGAATGTTGTAAATAAACCAAGTGCTTCACCAAATGTAGCTCTGCTTTGACAACTGATGAGGTTTAGGCAAATCCTTCGCTCAATCCCCATATTTCTACCTTGTTGCAAATATGGGACATTAGTATAGCAGGATGTCTGCTGTTATATGCACGTTTGAACCTGAACCTTTCTTTGTGTATCTGTCTTGGATGTGAGGCTTGCACACACACCATCTCGCCTTTAAAAGAGAATAGCCTCCACAAAGTCTAAATTAGCAAAAATATGCCTGTGTAAGCACTGCAAGGAAATATTTATCTACAGGTTGTCCCTATTTGTAAGATGCATTCCCACCAGCAGGCCAATAGCTGCAGCAAAATGGATTAAAAAGGAGACCTTGTTTGAAAGAAGCAATAAAGCTTTGTAAAAAAAATAGCTTCCACTTATTGTTTATCAGCAGAGGACACAGTGAAAATCAATTTCTTCAGAGATACATCAGCTTTTCATATTAAAAATCTCTTTGAAATAGAAAGCTACAGCATGTAAGCAGTAAGAAAAGAATGCTTTATGCCTGCTGTTTCTGTTAGTAGGTGTGTCTTAAACTACATTTCCTTTGGGTTCAAAGTCATCCTAGCTTTTAAGAAAATATCATTTAAAAATTATGACACATGACATGAGGCATCCTAATGTGTGCTTATCGTAGTGGTAAATGAGGGGAAGAGTTTTCACCCGTCCTGCAGCTTTGTTAAGAGTGTAATCCATTGTACAGCGATAAAAGTTGAGTCTAGAGAAATTGCGATGATTGCAATCTATTAGGCAATCATTTTGGGAAACAAATAAACTTGTCTTTTGTGTCTCATTTATGCCATTTAGAACCTGGCCCAAGAGAGGCTTTGCAGGAATACCATGTTACAGAAACTCTGCTGGCAAAGAGCTGTGAAAATCTGAAAAGCTGTGAAATGTTAACTCAAGATTCATTACATCCTTCCTATAAGGATGATTTTCATTGACATATGCCCCCCCCCGCCACTGCACACTGGCCAACATAGTCTTATATTGGCAATCAGTGTCCAGATCTTTAAACAGATTTGGTTTTGGATGCTTTTTAAACAGGAGGGATTCTGAAGCCAAAATGTTAACAAAAGCTTGCACATCATGTACTTACGGATTAGTTAATATTTGTAATTACCTAGTTAAACTTTATGTTTGGTCATATCATGGTGACAAAGATAACATTGTCTGGGCAAATTATTATCTTATATTCCCTTATTATGAAGTGATAATGATCAATATAATTAAATAAAAAAATGTGAAGTTCTCAATGTACATTCTTACATCTTTGGAGAACTTAAATACTGTTATATAACTTTATTCAGCCTTGTGAGAACAGCTGTACATCAAAATACATCACCTTTTTTTTTTATTATAGACTAACAGGCTTAGCTCTTTACTGAATTCACATATGAGTAGGCTACATTAAACATACCTGGACTATATCCCTGAAACATGGTGGCATCTGAACTGATAAGAAAAACATGCATTGAGCAAGCTGAAGCAGCATTTTGAAAGATTGCAGATTCATGGTATATAGGGCTTGTTTTATTCATAGGAGTAATATTTCATATTTATTAACACTGGCTTCTGCACATACTGCAAGACATTGATTTGGAACATTCCATCTTTTCAAGCAAGGATCCTGGTAATTAAATGCTTTACACCTTGGGTGGTAAGATCATTTATAACTCTGGTGTTTTTCATGGTTTTCAATGACATTATAATATCATTATTGCTAGATTAATTTGATGCCTGTTAGGAATCAGTTTTAATGGTACTATTTCAGCTATCTGCAGTCTACCAGTAATAACGTAAATAAAAGTGTAAACCTCTCAGATAACAGCCTGGGAAGCTGTTTTTCATTTTTTTCTCTTCTTAAAGGGTGATTCATTAAAGTGTACATGTGATGTGTAGTAAGCAGTTTTTGTACCCAAAGATAAATGGTGATAATTACTGTCAGATCTGATTTAAACAACTACTACTGTGCTTCAGTATTTAAATTATTTGGGCAAGTATTCATTCTTGGAACGTGAAAAATCTTCAAGCATTGTCTTTTACATTTAAAGAATTCAGTTTCATCCAATCCAGAAGATACAATTTGAAACAAAATATTATTATAATTTTTAAGAAAGAGGGGAAAATCTGAATATTGCTTAGCTAAATTGACATAGTTTGTTATTTGGAAATCAGCAAAGTTCAAGATCAAATAATTAAAGCTTAATGTTTTAGACTTCACAGTTATAGCCCTTTTAAAAAAATATTTTCAATTTATTAAATTCATATTTTTACCCTATCTGTATTTTTCACCTGTTTTCTTACACGTCTCTAAAGACATTTTTTCAGTAAACAAAATTTAAGACCCAAGATTCATTCAAAGAAGTGTGGAGAGTTGTATTTTTTTTCTAATTAAAAATTGTTTTTTAATTTACTTTAAATAGAAACTTACCTATTTTTCCATGATCATCTGTTGTGGTTTAATCCACAACAGAATGGAGAAGGATTAATGGAGAAGGATTGGAGGAAAAGACAAGGAAACTTCTGGGTTAAGAACAATTTAATAACTGAAATAAATGAAATAAAATACTGACACCAGTAATACTAACAATATTAATAATAAGTAATGAAAATAATGGAAAAGAAAATAAATAATACAACCATCAGCACTCGCAGAGAAACTCCCTCCTGGCCCAGGCCCCAACTTAAATACTGAGCATGACATTTTGCATGAAATATCCCTTTGGTCAGTTTGGATTAGTTGTCCTGCCTGTGTCCCCCTTACAAAGAATAAGTTGGGAAGACAGATGTAACATCAGAAACTGAAAAAAAAAAAAATCCTTGAGTTGACATAAACATTCTTTAGCAACAACTAAAAACATCAGTATATTATCAGTAATATTCTCAGCACAGCCAAAACATATCCTGATAGTAGCTACTGCGAGGAAAACTAACTCTATACCAGTTAAAACCAGCCCATCTTCTAAGAAAAACTTCAAACATTTACAAATTATGTTATCGATATTTGACTGAAATTCACAAATTTCTAAGCAACAAAACCTGACTGTATTGACAGCATGTGGAGTACACAGCCAGAGTATCTTCTGGTTGAGGAAATACATTAATCAGTCCTGTTCTGTTTCTGTGTTTGTAATGGTCCTTTATAACCTATCCCTTTCAATCGCTTCAGTTTATCACATGCACCAACCATAAGGCCTGAGTGTTTATAATTAACTTCCCTAACCTTTATTAATTCATAGCTCTTTTCAGCAGAAGAAAGAAAAATGCCTGTATATGTAGAGACAAAATATTATTATAGACTCATCTCTCTTCCAGAAATTTTAATTTTATTGATACTAAAGTATAGCAGCTTAATATTGAAAGCAATATGAAGAGGTTAATAATAATGAAGATGGCCCTGTATCTCACTTAAGCCGTCTCTCTATTGTCAAAGTACTTGTGGCATTAGTTTTAAAATGGGATTTGAAGATAACAAAATATATACAGCTATATAAATTAGATTTTTAATAAATAAATTAAATAAATCAGATTTTTTTTCCCCCTGCTGGAAAACAGGAAACTAGTAGAAGCCAAAGAATAGGACATCAGTGTAGAAATGAAAGCCTAAATGGATTATTTTTTCAGCTGCATAATTTTTGTTACCATCTGTCTTTTGTTTGTTTCTTTATTTATGAGTGAACCATAGGAGAAGTTTGGGACATGGTTTATGTTCTTTACTGAACAGGAATATGCATAGACATCTTAATGAAGAACTTGGAGTTTATTTGCCTGATGTTGATATACAGGGTTACCATTTGTCCATTAAGAAATGAAACAATTTAGCATAACTTTTTCTCTCATAAATAACCCCTCCTACTGCCATTTATTATATAACTAGACTAATAATACTGAATTAAATAGAATAAAAATACTGAATAATAATAATAATACTGAATGAACTAGAATAAAAATACTGAAAAAAAGAGCTTGCGAATTGTGACCAAACATAGTTTGCAACTCCTTATATTTCTATTTACAGGACAGTCACTCATTTCTGTTTCTTTTCTGTTTTAAAAAATGCTGAAATCTGCAAGTCTTAAGTATGATCATCATTATGCAAATTAAAATTACTTTCTAACTCCTATGCAAAATCATACTCAGTTTAAATTTTCAACACTTACAAGAAACCAGATAAATTATAAACTAACCTGAAGTTGTTTATTCAGCTTCACAGAAGCAGGGGGAAAAAAAAAAACAACAAAAACCAAAAACTGATGGAAACATGGAAATAACTCAATTCTTTCTGGTGTTATTTTTCAGTAGGATGTACATCCAGAAAAAAAATGAGAATTCCAAAAGAACTGATTTGCTAGCCCAAAATAACTTATCTCAAAAACAGTAACACAAAAATAGCTATCTCTGAAAAACATCTTTGAGTTAGAGGCTAAGGGAAGCCTAGGCAATATAATTTGCTGCAAGAGTCCATGAATTAGTTATATCACAGAATCACAGAATGGTTTGGGTTGGAAGGGATCTTAAAGACCATCCAGTTCCACACCCCTGCCATGGGCAGGGACACCTTCCACTAGACCAGGTTGCTCAAAGCCTCATCCAGCCTGGCCTTGAACACTTTCAGGGATGGGGCATCCACAGCTTCTCTGGGCAACCTGTTCCAGTGCCTCACCACCCTCTCTGGGAAGAACTTCTTCCTGATATCCAATCTAAACCTCCCCACTTTCAATTTAAACCCATTCCCCCTTGTCCTGTCACTACAGGCCCTTGTAAAAAGTCCCCCCCAGCTTCCTTGTAGCCCCTTCAGGGACTGGAAGGTGCTATAAGGTCTCCCCGGAGCCTTCTCTTCTCCAGGCTGAACAAGCCCAATTCTCTCAGCCTTTCTTCGTAGAAGAGGTGCTCCAGCCCTCTGATCGATCATCTGCATG